AAAATGCCGCGGGACGCGGGACAAATTGTTCAAAAGCAGGACTGTCCCGCCAAAATCGGGACCTCTGGTCACCCTACTCTCCTTCCTACTTACTTTCTTATCTCAAGCTTCTCTTCGAAGTTCTTCCCCTTCCCTACACACTCCCTTATCTTCAGGACTCTTCTCAGAGTTCTCCTCCCTACCCTCGATGGGGCTGGGACTAATGGATTCCAAGGAAGTTTCTTTTTCAAGGGTAGGGGCCTTGGTTATCACAGGCTCTTTTTATGTTGCTTAGTTTGAGTTCTCTATAGATTCCAGTTAGCAACCCTTTGTCAGATTTGTAACATGCAAGTATCTTTTCCCATTCTGAAGATTGTCTATTTGCTTTAATTGTGTCCTTAGCTGTGAAAAAGCCTTTCAGCTTAATTAAGTCCCATTTGTTTCTTTTGTCATTGTCATGATTGCCACTAAAGTCTTCATAAAATCTTTCTCCCAGTTGACATCATCAAGCATTTTCCCACATTTTCTTCTAGGATTTTTATCATTTCATGTCTTATACTTGAATCTTTCATCCCTCTTGAGTCCCTTTTTATAAATGGAAGGTGCAGGTCCAGTTTCAGTCTTTTACATGTGGTAATTCAGTTATCCTAGCACCATTTATTGAATAGGGGTTATTTTCCCCAGTGTATGCTTTTGTTCACTTTATTGAAGATCAGATGATAGTAAGTGACTGGTTTCATCTCTAGTTTTTCTATTCTGTCCCATATGTCTATGTCTCTATTTCTGTGCCAATACCATGCTGTTTTGCTCACTGTGGGACTGTAATATATAATCTGAAGTTCGGTAGAGTGATGCCTCCAGCTTTCTTTTTATTACTAAGAATTGCCTTGGCTATACTGTTTCATTTACTTATTCTTTTTTTTGTAGTTTCAAACAAAATGAAGAACTATATTTTCCATCTTCAAAGTATGATGTTAGCATTTTAATGGGGATTGCATTAGATCTGTAGATTGCTTTGGGTAATGTAGACTTTTTAATAATGTTGATTCTTCCAACCATGACCATGGTATATTATTCCATTTGTTAATGTCTTCTGCTATTTCTTTTCTTAGGATTTCATAATTCTCTTTGTAAAGATCCTTCACCTTCTTTGTTAGGTCTATTCCTAGGTATTTAATTTTCTTTGAAGCTACTATAAAGGGAATTGTGTCCTTGATTTGCTTCTCAACTTGACTGTTGAATGTATACAAAGGCTATAGATTTGTGAAAATTGATTTTATACCCTGAAACATTTCAGTATTTCTTGATCACTTCCAGGACTCTTGTGGTTGAATCTCTGGGGTTTTCTAAGTATAAGGTGATGTCATCAGCAAAACCCAGGAGTTTGACCTCCTCTGCCCCCATTTGGGTGTCCCTGATACCCTTCTCTTGCCTGATTTCATTGGCTAGAACTTCTGTAACTGTGTTGAATAGTTGTGGTGATAGTTGACATCCTTACCTGGTTCAAATTCTAAGTGGAAAAGTTTTCAGTTTTCACTCTATTCAGTATGATATTGGCTGTGGGTTTGACATAGATGCCTTTAATCAGTTTAAGAAATATGCCATCTATGCCTATTTTCTTAAGTGTTCTTCTTGGGAAAGGTTGCTTACTTTTGTCCAATACTTCTTCTGCATCTATTGGGAAGATCATATGATCTTTGTTTTTGGTTCTAAGTGCATGGATTCCAACTAGCTCATAGAGGTATGAAACTAGTTTGGGGAGTTTGCTATAAAGCAGCATATATAGAAATTCTCAAGACTGGCCCAGTATGGGAAAACCTCTAGACGATATCAGCCTGGGGTAAAACTTTATTAAAAACACTCTACTGACAATTACATGATATCAGCCTGGGGTAAAACTTTATTAAAAACACTCTACTGACAATTACAATAATAACAAAAACAAATGAATGAGACTTAATCAAGTTAAAAAGCTTCTGCACAGTTAAGGACACAACAATTAAAGCAAATAGAAAAACTTCCGAATGGGAAAAGGTATTTTTATGTTACAAATCTGACAAAGGGTTGATATCTAGAATCTATAGAGAACTCACATTAATTAACAGAATAAAAGCTCAAAAAATCTTATCTACTGGGCAACAGACATGAACAGAATCCTCTCTGGAAAAGACAGATGAATGGCAAACAAACACAGGAAAAAATGCTCATTATCCCTAATCATCAGAGAAATCTAAATCAAAGATATTTAGATTGAGATATTGTCTATCCTTAGTGAGAATAGCCCACATCATAAAGTCCCAAAGCTGCAGATGCTGGCCCCTTTGTGGAGGAAAGGGAACACTTACAAACTTTTGATGGGATTGGAAATGAATATAGTCTCTTTTGAAACAAGTATGGAGAATTCTCAAAGAAATCAAAATAGACCTTCCATTCGACCCTCAGCCCCATGACTAGATATTTACCCAGAAGAAAAAGCCATTTTATCATAAGGACATCTTCACTGGATTGTTTATTGCAGATCAGTTTGAGAGCACCAAGATGTGGTATCAAGCCAAGTGCCCATCAACTTATGAGTAGATTAGTAAACTGCGTTGCATGTATACCGTGGGATACCATTCAATCACAAAAGATAGAAACTTATACATTGTTTATATTAACTTGGATGGAACTGGAGAGCATTCTGTTTAGTAGAGTATCACAAGAATGGAAAAGGAAGTATCCAGTGTATTCACTACTATATACAGCCAGTAAATGATCTAATATACATGTACACAAGAGGAAAACAAAACTTAATTCTCTTGAGGATTGGGGAGGAGGGAGGAGAATTGGTATATCCCAACTAATGAGCACAATGTCAGGGCATACAGCATACTTCCTGGGTGAGGGGCACAACTACAATAGGAACATTACCTAATGAATTCAAACATTATAACCTGATCATGTGTACCCTTATATTAATCTGAAATAAAAGACAAAAAAACTGGCCCTGTACCTACTAAACCCACTAATCACCTAGGGTGGGTTGATGCAAAGGAATCTCTCATGTATGAGGGCCGGAATACTATCCTAGTCATTCTGTTCTACCTGTGAGACAGGACCAAGGTAGCAAGAGTTTTGACTGGAGCACAGTGATGGATGGGTTGAGAGGATGGGGCAAGCCCAGAATGAAAGCAAGAAAGGAGAGAAGGATTTAAAGGGTTATGAGAATAAAGCCATCAACCTAGAATTCTATAATGTAGAAACTAACTTTCAAAGTGAAAGAGCAATAATATGTTCTTGCACACATACAAGATGAGGTATTTTCTTGTGAATATATCTACCTTGCAACAAATTTCAAAAGCAGCTTTTTTAGAAGGAAGAAAATTAACATAGGTCACAATATCAGATCTACATAAAGAAAGGAAAACAGCAAGGAGTCAGTGAAAGGAAATTAATTATATATACATTTATTAGATATTAATTGAGCTAATGGAGTAAGAATTTCAGATAATGGAAACACTGTTACATATATGCTAAAATAGAAATATTTTCTATATGTATTATATCCTTTTGTATGAATGAAAGAAGAAATAAAAGAAATCAGGATTTAAAAACTTTTTTATCCTTTTGTAAAATTAGGATTATTTTGTTATTGCAAATTACCCTCAGTACCCATGAAGCAATATGAAGTTAATTAAATTTGGACATGGAAATAGTTATTAATGTATTTATAGAACTATGGAGCCAATATAATATAAATAATATAAAAGGTGGAAAAAATAAATGTAATATGCTATGAAAAAAGAATTTAATCATATGAAAGGTTTAATTAAAACAACAAAATCCAAGTAGTGGGATTGCAGGGTCAAATGGGAAATCTAATTTGTGTTCTTTGAGGATTCTCCACACTTCTTTCCAAAGAGGTTGTGTTAGTTTGCAGTCCCACCAACAGTATAAAAGTGTTCCCCTCTCCACATTCATGCCAGCATCTGCAACTTTGGAATTTTGATGTGTGGGCTATCTTACTATGGTTAGGTGATACCTCAGGGTGGTTTTGATTTGCATTTCTCTTATGATTAGGGATGATGAGCATTTTTTGATATGCTCGTCAGCCATTCATCTGTCTTCCGAAGAAAAGGATCTATTCATGTCTCCTGACCAGTGATAGATGGGATTGTTAGCATCTATCACTAACAGTCACTTTTTTGTTGATGAATTTGAATTCTCTATAAATCTTGGTTAACAAGCCTTTGTCAGATTCATAATATTCAAATATCTTTTCCCATTCTGAAGGTTGTCTATTTACATTGATTGCTGTTTCCTTAGTTGTGCAGAAACTTTTCAGTTTAATTAAATCCCATTGGTTAATTTTTGTTGTTGCAATTGCTCCCCACCCCCCGCAACTAGGCATCCATCTAGAAGAAAAAAAATCATTTTATCATAAGGAGATATGCACTAGATTCTTTATCACAGCTCAATTTACAATTGCCAAAAGGTGGAAACAGCCTAAATGCTCATCAATTCAGGAATGGACTAACAAAATCATGGAATATGCTTCATGAATACTCATCATAAAAAATGTGGTGACTTCACATTTTTTGTACTAACCCAGATGCAGTTGAAACACATTCTTCTTAGTAAAGTATCACGAGAATGGAAAAACAAATATTCAGGCTCGGCGCCTGTGGCTCAAGTGGCTAGGGCGCCAGCCACATACACCTAAGGTGGCAGGTT